GGTTGTTAGGGTATGAGCCCGTGGAGGAGAGCAGGAGGACACCAAAACGAAGAGGTGAAGGAGGTTGGCGGGAGGGAGGAAAGGGAGAAGAGTCGAGCCCACGTTATTTTAATGCGGCATCTCTGGGGGGCACGACGCGGATTACCAAGGCTAAAAAGGAAGTTTTTAATAATTTTTCATTTTCTCTATATTTATTATCGCACGCTTCCTAACTGAGAGGTGAACGCAGAGGGGTGACAGGGGGATGAGACTGAGAGACAATGGAGGATCGGCCCAGGGGTCGCCGAGAATTCTCACTGAGGGGGTGTGGTGTACTCAGAGGGAGGGGTAGAGGGAAGTACGTAAATGTGCGATTGTCAGTTGTCGTTGTTAAATTTTAATTCGTTACGCACCATACCCTCTTCCGATCTTTTTTTTGACAAAGAATGAAAGTTTTTTCGTCTGTATCTCATCCCTTTTTTTTTCATTTTCAAGAACCTTTTTTGTCTCTCATTTTGTTGGCTCTTTCCGTTAATACAATCTCGGCAACGCGGAAATGAGAGTTCCCTTTGTATTTTGTGAAATTACCCGGAGAATTGGTGATGCTTATAGTATAGCGAAATTGATGACAGTGTTTGATTAGGGATGATGAGTGATAATGTTATTTGAATCTTGACCAGTACTGTTACAAACATTTATTATAAAAGTACGGATTAAGAAAGGGAATGGGATTCGCAAGGTTTCAATCTCGACGTGGTCTGTCTATTCCATCTCCTGTCGTTATTTTGAGTATTGGAATGCGCGAATTCACGGTATGCCAGAGAAGGAAGCGAGGAAAGGGATGCAATTGGGGAAAATATGTGGGAGATAATTTCTCTTTGAAATGGTGAAATTGTAATACTCACCCTAGGATGGAAAATTCCTCCATTACAGACACTATCTCTCGTCTTCGAAATTATCTGTGACTCATGAAAGAAGTCTGATGTATCGATGAATAATTAATCTTGTTTATTTTCATTTCCGCTGGATGAAGGGAGGAAAAATCACGTCGAAGGAAAACTGATGAAGCGTTAGTGCCTTCATATTAATCAGGAATGCTTTGGTGGGCTTTATGAGTCTTGAAATATCGTAGAATCTGGGGGCAGAGAGACGACGTGATACAGAAAGGTGGAATGAGAGGGATGGGGGAATATTGCGATGGGGCGGCTTCCTCGAGTCCAAGACATCAATGTCAATAATAATTCATTGATTACTTAATTCATATAGTTGCCATGGCAACCAGAGGCTTTCTCTATCTTCCAAGTTTATTTCCCTTTTTGATGCTTCCTGCACATTTATATCACACTCCCTCTGTTCCTCTCGTTTCGACCAGGAAGGCGCAAAATCCCAACAGTAAAATACCCTTGATAAAATCTAAGAATTTTCAAGATGGCTCCTAGAAGTGAAAAATCAAATTTATTCAAGTGAATTTATGTCGAGCAAACTCTTGAATTATCTATGTAGCGGCCGGCACATATTATATCAATCCAATTGATCTTAATTATAAAAATGAAAATGAAGGAAAAAATGAATATGTATCGAGTGAAATATTAAAAAAAATGTCAAACAATTATTGGAAAATAAATTTAGCGCGAAGTTCAATGTACGGTAAATATTCTATATATTCCGTTGTGAATGTAGCATTATACATTCTTAGAGTATTGGCACTGGAGCAAGCAAGGAGAAACACGAAATGAATATTCAGAAGTTATTAGTCTGTAGTGAAATGTGACGGGACGCACCCTCGACTCTGGTACCATACCTTGTGTTCACTCTCACTCCCCCATATTTCCGGCTCGACTCTGTTATAGATTTTGAAAACCACTCATCAGCAGACGAACTAAGATTGAATGAAAAAACATTTCTTTAATGAAGAGAAATGTATTGTTGAGGGGAATTGAGCCGAGAGAATTTTTGCCATTAAAAGATGAGAAATCTTCTGAAGGCAATTGGGTGGCTATTGAGATGCGATGTTCTCTGGCTATAGGGACTCTCGATCGTCACGATATTCAAATGGCATCAATTTCTCGAGAATTGCCATTCTATCTCCGAGAATACGAGGCCATTCACGAAAACGAAAGGGGGTTGTATTGTATTGGCTTTCGGATATGTACATCCAACCATTTTACAACCTCTCATCTTGATAAGTTACGAGATATGTGAAAATTCTTCAGTGGGGTGCCATTGATTCATGCAAATTCATGCAAATTTTTGCTGATAAAAGGAATGAAAAAGCATCAATAAAAAATTAATTTGCCCAATTGCCCACTTATTGTTGATTAAAATTTCTGATAAGACATATACTTCACAAATAAAAGCTCTACCCCAATTTTCCATTCATTGTTGGGTTTCCAAAAAACTTGAAAAAACTCCGACCAGCAGAAAAATCTGCCTTTATTCACCTCAAACAAAGAGCGTTATCACAAATCCCTTAAACTCCCATTATCATTTTTGCAAAAATTTTAGAATAGGATTTAGCCACTGAGATAACCCGTCGACTTGTCACCGCTCGGTTCAAGTTTGCTCTCATAAATAAGTTGAAAAAAAAAACTAAAACAAAAAAGGTTGATACACCAACGCAATAAAAATAAAACTAGGACGGGAGAAATAAGTTTAGTAGCCGATGTTGTCAGGAGGGTTGACCCACCCCCTCCTCACGTTGCCTATGGTAAAATCCCTCCCCAGAAGAGTCAGCACTTTGAAAAAAATAAATAAAATGCGTCGACACAGTACGCGTTATCGGACGTCGTTTGAGCGTAAAAATAAATTTTTTCCAGCGGATGTTTTACATGAACCCCTCGCAACCCCCCGAACACTAGTGAGTCTAGAGAGAAATACAGGGGGTGAGTTGGTGTAAGCGGGTGGAGGGGAGTAAACAAGAATAATAAACTGACTCACGGGCTTTTCGCGTATCGCACGGAGGCTGCGATATAAATTTGCGATAATGCATATGCTGGTGAGATTTTTTCTGACACGATCGTGTATCATGTGAGGCGCAGAATGGGGGGGGGGGGTTGAATAGGGGATACAATACAGGGAACGAACCCCCGTGTACTCATCATCATCGATTTCTGTAGCATATACCCAACACCTCAAGCATCGAAGCCCGATCTTACCTTATTCTTTCACTCTGTTCACCCCTTGCGGCACTACACAGCCATGGTAAAACCCTCATACATCACGTGCCACCTTCTTTATTAAACCCATATTTCTCAAAATAGAAACATCAAATTTGCGATCCATCTGACGATCACTTTTTATCCCTTCCCCATGCCCCCCCACAATTTTTAATATTTTTTTTAACGTCAACAGTATAAAAAAATATATACCCCTCTTCTGCATTGAAGGTCGTGGACCACCGAGTTCTTGTATTAAACGCGTTTATTATTAATGCCCACAGGTATGACCGTAAAAAATGCTGATGAAAAAGAAGAGAGAAAAAACGCATACTCCAAGCCCCTCTTGGGTATTCTTGTGCCTTTGGTCGAGATTGACGGACTCTCATTCGACGAGCCAACCGGTCGATGTCAATGGATTATTCAGAATGACCGAGAGATTCTGGGAGGATGAATGAAAGGAACAAAAATACCTGAACCAACTGTTTCCTTCTTTTTTTTTTTCATAAATTATAAATGTCAAAAAATCAAACCATTTGCTAACCATGTTTATCGTCAATTCAGCCCTGTTGTTTCAGAATTTTTTTCTCTCCCATCTCCCCCTGCGAATTACCAGGTCTATCTGTGAGTCATTCATCCCTGAATATTTAATTCCACAAAGAATCTTATATTTCTCTCAGAGACGAGCGCAGAGATGGTGAGGAGAGTTATGGTTTTGGATGGGTGATTGTCATTTGAAGAGGTAAAAAAAAATCCACCAACTCGACTGTTAAGGGTGAAGCAGACGGAAGAGAAGAGGAAGGGGGCAGAACGGAGAAGGAAATGAAATCAATTATTCATTCAAATTGGCTGGGAAAAAAAGTCCTAATTATCCCTGGCAAATACGAGCTTAATACGCAAAAGTGCACCCACCTCCCTCCCCCTTCATTTCTCATGACCTATCTGCTCCACCGTGAATAACCATTTGTATTTCCAATTACGTTTGCTAATAAGAAGACGAAGGCATTGCCGTAGTTGAAAAAAAAGGAATATAAAAAAAAAACAGAAAGAAATGTATAACCTCATCCAGCCACTGGGGAAATAAAGAAAAGCGCCGCTCAGTATGACAATACCGACGGCTAGCCGGTGGGGTTATACCGGGTGGACTACAATTAAAAATCCTCGTTCACCCTCGCTTAACCTCCATCGAGTCAACCCCTTTTTCACCCCCTCACCGGCCCCTTTACCACCCACAACGGCTGCGGGTGCTCCTTATGTTGTATTAACAATGAAGTTGAGGAAGATACGAATGGACGATATTTCAAAACATCACGGTGACAATGCCAGATTTTTTTTTTTTCCGTTCAAACTTTTTTTTTCCTCCCTCATTTGCACTCCATTATATCCCTCCAACTGCCTCGATTTTTCCATGATCTCATATTTATTTCCCGATTATTTTCCACTCCATGCAGTATATGAATGTGAAATTGTTGTGATAGATTGAGAGTTCAATTGGTTTTTTATTCTTCGAATGATTGCAATGTTTTTAAAATTCGGTTAATATCGGTTAAGTCAAGTGAATTGTGGATTGAAGTGAGAGAGAATTTTTGAATTCATTGGTAGAGGATCTATAGAGTAGACAGATTAAAGGCAATAGACCACTTGTTTTTTTTTTTTTTTTATTCGAGGAGAGAATGGAAATGAGAGAGAAATTTGTGTGGAGTTTAATGAGAATTATCGATTAGGGATTAGGTATTGTTCCTTCAAGGTTACTACGTATCAATGACGCACTCGACAGTATACCCGTAATGTTTACAGGATTTTGTTTGGAAAGCAGTTTTCGGGTAATTTGGGATAGGCAAAAGGATGAACTCCACAATGTCAATGCCATCGGGAATTGTGTGGATATCGTTTCGTAGTCAGTGTCTATCTAGTGGTGATTGAGCAAGTGCGTTATAAGAGAAGACGTTCCACCTTTGCACTTCCTCGGAGGATCAGTGGATGACTGAATAGGAAGATTTGGTCGTCCAGTATTTTTGGTCGGATAAAGACTCCGAGGGATTCGTTGTTTACGAAAGTTGGAAAGGTGTATCATGCGGGTAAAGAAATCACCCAAACGCACGGTGAGAATAATGAATACCAAACAAATCGATAATGATGTCATGAGCGATTCTGTGAAAGAGAGCTCAACGTTCTGGGAGAATTTGTCGAAACCTTGTCAAGGAAATTCACAAATTAATGAGGTAACAATTTTTTAAAATAAATTATGAAAGACACTCCGATTCCTAGATTTTATAATGAATTGGATTACCAATAACGGAAGTACAACCATTTTTTTTTGCATGAAAATCCATCGGAGATTGATGTGATGAGCTTATGAAAAAATACTAAAAGAAAATACAAAAGTGAAGACAATTAAAAAATTCGGTTACTGTTCTGACAATTGGTAATCAACAATGTAATTTTTCGTTGGAGAAATGTTTCTGACAATTTTTTAAAAATACAAATTTTGGGCAGAAATTGAATGAGAGCGTTCGGTTAATGCTTCTTCGATAAAAATATTTTGTTTCAATTGAAACCCGAGGTCATGAGTTAATATTAAACTAATCTAGTTCATGATTTCACAGAGACAATACAGCGGAATGTGGGACGTCCTTGATTTGACGATAAAAGGATCATCGTCACACTGTTACCAGTGCTGGGGAGACACTGAGATTTGTTTACCATTGGATTACACCGCCGCTACATTATCGCTTACCGAGCCCATTGATCTATCCACAAAGACCCGTGGCCTGGGTCCTCACAATTGCCCCCCACCATCACCTACAAGGCAAACGAAAGAATTCAAGGATACATTTCTGTACAAAATGCTCACCGATCCAGTGTTCGCGGAAAATTTAAAAGTTACGAAAAATTCCGTTACTTACTCGTGTCCATTCTGTAAGAAGCAATTCCCTGATGAGAGCAGTCTCGCACTGCACCAAAAGCCAATGGTTAATGAAGCGAATAAGATAGCTTGCTGTGCATGCGATAAAACTTTCACGCAAAAACGTTATTTACGTTATCATCAGAGATCACACTCAGAGAGAACTAAATATACCTGTGACATTTGCACGAAAAAGTACTCAAGACAGGATAATTTAACTCGCCACAACACTTTTCACACGAACCCAGACAAATTCCCATGCAATTACTGCGACCGTACGTTCAGCAGGAAGGATTTATTGAATAAACACATTAAGGGTCATGAGAATCGATTCAGTTATCATTGTGGAGTTTGCGATAAGTACTTTAAAGGGCCACTGTCACTTGATAATCATCAGAGACATTATCATAAGAATATTGCGTCGACTAAAAATTAGTCATTGTTCAAAAATATTTTTGATAAATATTTAGAGCGTTCGTAGCACTTCCCATTGAAAATTGAGTGTGTATTTTTTTGTTATCTTGTTGATGAAAGATTTATTGAAATATGATTCGAGTAAAGATTCATTATTCTAACCGATCAGTTGTCGGAAATATTGTAGAATACAATAATTTCGTGGACTAAACGGTATAAATGAAGGAAAATGATAGAGAAAAATTGGGCAATAAATATGAAAAAGAAAAATAGAAAAATAGTGTAGTTGTAGAGTTTAATGGAGAGCAATATAATTCAACGGTTAAAAACGATGATATGTTCATTGAGAAAAATGGAAAAAATTTACTCACCATAAAGTGGAAAACTAGAGCAACTGACATGTGTTAATACATTCACCTTTTTTGTCCCTCTCTTTCGTCCCTAATACCTTTTTGAAAACGAGAACACCCAACCACCATTCCAACTTGCTTTTAAATTAATGCAATTTAGTCGAGCGTTAAAATATCGTACTTAATTCGCCGTCGGCGCCTTTGTTTCACTGGTGAATTTTCCCGGTAAAATACCAAGTGAGAGTGTATACGCACAGTCAAGCAGCTATAGCAAAATGCCCAAGCCCAGTGTGTTTCGCTCGTTGGATTTTCGGTGGAGTGCAATACATAATTCGTTTCGTAAGAAATCCATGTGGCTCATACTCAACGGTTTGTACAATGGCATTTGAGTCTGGTTCTCAACCAGTACAAATATACGCATATCGTTTTCACTTCGAAGTTCTAATTACTCTCGCCTCTGTAAATTCAAGCCCATGTGTTTGGTATGTTTTTTTAAATGGAAAAATTCTTCAGTAAAAGTGCTCGAGGTACGTCTCAGTAGTCAACACTCTAGAAAAAACTGAGAAATCTCATTCGCTCTGCCTCTTTTCCCCTTTTTATTCTCATTTTCATGGAGAGGAACGTATTTTTTCATATCTTGAATTAACGAATAAGGGAATACATATGGTAAAAGCAATGAAATTATTCCGGGAAAGGGGAAAAAAATGTGATTTTTATCTGAGCAAAATTTTATAATTAAAGTGGAAATTTTCTCAAAGAAAATCATGGACATACGACGCTTCGGGCTTTTCACCAACGCAGAACGACTATATTTCCCCCGAGGGGTGGTACGAGGGGAGGTTTTTTCATGTATATTCACATATTCACGTAACGTATATTCTATCCCTTTGATCCACTTAAACCGTATGTCCAGGCATATTCCGTGGCGTACATGTGGACTTGACCAAAAATGTAACAAAAGTTTACGGTAGAGTGTTTCTCCATCGTGGACCACTGTCACAGAGAAGAGGCAACTGACAGAAATTCTGCGGTCCCTTTTTGGCACGGAGTTACTTTCGAACACGGATGAATACAGTCAGTGTTTCTCGGTGTTATTTTTTTTTTACTATTTCATTCTTTTTTTAGGAATACGACGTTGCATCCTCTCAGACTTGGTTCCCACTGGATCTAGGGAACTGCAAACGTTCCTCAAGGGGATTTACGCAACCACTGAACTCTTTTTACAAATAAAACGATCCTTGCAATATTCTTCCCAGTCATGTTTCATTTTGGATTACCAAAAAATTTTTGGGCAATTCATTATCAATATTAACGTTGAGAGAATGGATAAAAAAATATTTTTTGTTAAATCCATCAATAATTTTTCTTCAGTTTGACGTTTTTTTTTTCATACACGAACCTGTGGAATTTCATAACAGAGATATTTCTCTCCGCGTATATTAAGAATCCACCCTAGCATCAACCTTCAAGCTACCAAAAAAATACCGCCTAAATTATTTCTCATTAATTGATAAGTCTCCTGTGATAATTCTCCGCCAATTTCTCTCCCGGATATCAAAGAGAATAAAAACCAGGCATGTTTAAATATTATACCTCTATACAAAGTGCAGAGAGCTACTCAATAATCATCCATAATTTATTAAAAAGAAAAATATGCCCCTGAAATTCTCTTTCTCTCCGCCTTATTTATTTTTTTTCACCTTATTTCATGTTTTGAGGAGCGGTGATGGAGGCTCTGAAGGGTAGGGGAAGAATCTAGAAAATAAATATTTGATGGATTAAACAAAGCCAGCGAAAGGTAAATGCGGTGTTGGATGAGTTCAGGTTTGGGGTTAAAGGAGGAAGCGTAATTTTTAAGAAGTCGGCGTAAGAAAACGATAAAGCACCCTTGTGCTTCTTCCACCTTTTCTCCCTTATTTTTTTTTTTCAGGGGAAGTTTAAAAGCCTCCCTATCTCTTCGACCGTGAAATATAGTCAGAGAGGTTCGACAATTGATTCCCGCAAATTTTCTTTTTATGTTCTATTTTTATACCACGAAGAGCGTTAATTATTCACCGCAATCATAAAAAAAATGAAAAGAAAGAACTAAAAGAGGTTTCACCGATTAATTCCACGTGGAGAGTTTTAAGGAGGTTGGGAAGTCGCTTCTGCTATTCTATCAATTTTCCACTACTTTAGGCATTTTACTTTCGCAATCACTCCAATCCATTGATGTAAACCGAATTTCTCAGTTGCTTCATTTCATTTTTCAATAATTCAAAACCTTTTGATTTTCCATTTTAATTAAATAAAAATTTTTTCTGCATCATGTCAATAAAAATGAAATTGATAAGCCTTTGCGGCATTTTTCACGTATGACAGAACACGTCACCTAATATTAACGTTTTTTCTTTTATATTATACGAGGACACAGTTCAATCCCGAATATACACGTGAGGATGCGGGAGTAAGGGTTTGAAGCAAAGGGAAAGGATGATGCGAGGATGGGGCAATGGGGAGTTAACGTATTGATTAAAAATATGACCGGGACGAAGAGCTCTTTGTTTGACATACGAAAAGAGAATAATGAGAGTGACTGAAAGGGTGAGGCAGGGGGTTGAAGGGAAGAAAAATCATTGCAGTGCTAATGTGGAAATATTGGAGTCGCCTCGTCAACATAGACAGAACGTATACAAAGTAGAATTTTATGCTTAAATCGTTTGATAAATGTACATTCTCCATGAAGTCTAAGAACAAATCAATTCCAATCAAGTGTAAATAAAGTAAAGTAATTAAGCTAATGGAAAGAGTAATAAGTGCTTGTAATTGTAAAAATGAAAATTCATGGAAATCAACAGATAATTTCGTGATAAATTTCTTTTGTTGAATATAAGAGTGAATAGAAATTGTTTGCGCAAGGCAATTTATTCGATACCTAAAATAGAAGTGTACTCAAACCAAACGAAATTGATTCGATCATCCTGCTCATGCTGTCCCCATCTATAAATGCCCGTAATACCGATGATGGAAGAGTCTAAACGAGATGATATGGCCTCTGATCGACCCAATCAATGCATCCACTAAATCATCGTATAAACTGACATACCACGTAACAGCACAGTGACCATTTAATGGCATAACGTTTATATTGGCTAGTGGGCGAACACCGGAAGCATCCACTCATCCCCAGTGATTGCCGATGCATGGCGTCTTTATGAGGTACATCAGATGATCAAAACTAGTACTCAACCAATTCAAATCTATGTCACATGTTGACTGTTCAGAGCAGTTGAGTCCAAATCATTGTTCCAATATTAGCAATCAACTGCTGGTCTCTGGTGGAATTGTTGCGGTCGAATGTTGGAGAGACCGGTGAAATTGGCAGGGGATCCATAAGTAAAGAAAGAAGTGTCCACTGAGGCAGAATAGTAAACTAGCGAATTGGAGAAGTGAGAGACATACCAGCAGAAGAGGCAAGACGGTGGCATTGAGTCTAACATTAATTCTCATAACATTTTATGAGGCGGTATCCGACCTGTGTCAAGTCCTTCCGACGCCCTGGAGCACGGTTTAGGAGTCATAACTCCCAATCACCCTAAGACATGCAGTCGCCTAGCACCAATTTCTACTACCACTGCCTAAGCTCTCATACTCCAACACCTCTATGATATCAAGACAGTTGGTAAATGTATGTATCACCCTTGGAAATCCCCTGGAGTATCTAAGAGGATACAAACTATCAAAAAGGAGAGGCTGAATAAACAAAAGAATACACTACTATAAAATGGAAAAAATTTATTATTATATCTAATTTTACATATTTTATCCAGAGAAAAAAATATCTCTCCCAACCAAATCTGTACAAAGTTGAAGAATAATCTTCATATTAAAAAATTTTTTTTTTTCCCCATCAATAAAATTGGAAATTCTAGAAAAAAATAAAGATGACCTGATGCGATTTAAAATTCGCTTGGCTTCTTGATGGCATCCCTTACAGGGCTATTAATCCCGAAAAGTTCTCGAGTATTATGCTTTAATTCCTCCGGTCATACCAGAAATACAGGAAAATATCGGATACCAGTCCTTATCATCCCCATAAACGAACCCAAAATATCCGTATCACTGGAGAAATCAGATTGTCTCTTCCCGACAGAGGGAGGCTGAAATTAAACTGGTGTTTAATCGTGTACTGTGGTTAAAATTGCGCTCAATTTCGTGTTCAATTTGCGAGGATTCCTTTTTTTCCCCTCCCATCACCCCTAAAAAAGTTGAATGCCTCCTCTTTTTGATCTCACTGAAGAATTCATTAAGTTTGTGGGCGCGTCGAGGTATTAATAGGGGGGGAAAAGGAGAGTAGGGTATCTTGGAAGATATACCCAACGTCTTTCATGCTTGACTCGTGTTCTGCCTGTAAGGCACAAGGTAAGGACTCTGTTTTTCCCTCGTCCCCATTCTTTTTATTTTTACATTGATTTTTTAGCGAGAGGGGCGAAAATGAGCTCGTTCCAGTCTCTCATTTCTTGGGTCGATATCGTCGATGGCTTTCTGGAAGACACTACTGGACGATGGAGATCGGATATAGCGGATATATAGGTGAGTAAAAGAGAGGGTGGAGGGTGAGATGCGGTGGTTTCACGGTGGCGAAGTGCATTTGGCCATCAAATAACATTGGCAGCGCCTATAACCGGCTTACGTACCGACATAAAGTCAGCTTGGACCCTGGCACTTACTGTCTCACTTCTGCTTCCTTGGTTTCAACTGAGCAACTCTCCCTTCCTTTCATAGATACCACCTCTTTCCTAACCGGGAAACGCTGGGTTTCCTCATCCTTAAACCACTAACTCGTGATCAGAGCTGACTAACCCAAGCGTCGAACTACCACCCTGCAGTCGTATCAGGAGTTGCGGCTCTTCGGGGGAGCTTAAGCCCTCACGATATCAGTTGATTGGGTCTGGACCGAGTGACACCCATGGACAAGGCCAAATATACCAGCAGTAAACTTTCATCTGATAACTTTTAATATACCCTACTCTACTATTAAAAGGAACCAACAAATCACCGGATAATGGATAATTAATTGTTATTATTTTATTTTTTAGATACAATTACGTAAAAAATACCTGACAGTTCTTCAGACAATTTATGATTTTTTCTCCGTGTGATCACTATAAAAATTATTGTGCGGCATTACAATTTCGGTGTAAGCTGCCGGCCTAAAAAAAAAACACTATGTCGTCTAGTAAAATTTCTTTGTCAAACTAGGAAACCGTCTTTATCGGCCAAGTAAAAATTCAAAGTCATTATAACAATTACCATCGTTAAGTTCAAGCTCAGCACAGTAATTTTTCATGAATTTTTCTCTTAAAGCAGTGTCTATACGCACTAGGTCGCTAGGAAATATACTTTCGGCTTTATTTTTCATTGAATTCAATTTCTCACCGAGCGCAACAATGAATTGTTTACTTATATTTCGTTTTAACTTCTTGTGATTTATCCCGATGCCAATTAATAGTGTTTAATTACTTTCTATATCGATCAAGCTATACAAAATAAATAATCCGATTTTATCTAATTAGTACTTGTACATCTACACTATAGCCAAAAATGGAAAAACTTTCCAATTCCAATTCTAGACACCTGTTCCCCAGTGAATCTATCGCCAATCCGTCCAACCCTCGATATTTCCAATTAAACTTTTCCTTTACCCGTTTGTGGTAGTTCCACAAAACCGAGATATCCACGCACCCTCTCAATCCAGCTTACACAACCCCAGGATTAGTGAATGAGAAGGTCGGATATACGGTAATACCCGTGGCCCGAGATTTCCCAATGATCGTTCGAAGAAGACACACAGAATGAACGAGACGGGAGAGACTCCCAATAACTTGCCAATATCAGTATTACCGGACATACTGAGCGCAATATAAACGTTTATGACCCAATATTCCCTCTATCCCCGTGACCCCGAAAATCGTTAGAGTGCCTTTTGCGGTATTCGAGTAGTATCTCCAAAGGTGCTCACACGTTTTCCTCCATCTCGATTAGAGATATCAGGCACCGAGATACTGTTGCGACATTTATAAGACATGAAATGAAAGAAGGGATACCCCATTGGCATCCAATGTGCTCACCTCCTCCTCCCTGCTAAAACGACTGATGGAATTCCGTTGACAATATACCCAACACAGATACATTTTCATAGAAACAGAGTGGGTGAATCTCGTGTGTGGCCGCCATCGGGGACACTTAATGTTTCTCTATCTATACGAGGCTAGGACTTGGGGACAGCTTTGCTATATTGTTATATACGACGTTGTGGCCGATGGGGACGGACAACTCGCCATTGCGAATACACAGAAGAATCGCCTAGCAGTACCTCAGTGAAAAGATATCATCCGCCATCACCAATTAACGTCCACCAAGACTTATTGAAAAAGATCCCAGCGGACAAACCCACTGATGGATTCTCAACATACAATTTTTTCCCCTTTTCTTCGCCCCGTAATGAACACTGATTACCGTTTTTTCATTGCTGATAACTCATTGGGCAGTGGATAAACGCCCTTGAGGTGACGTTGATCAATCTCCTCAGACATTAGGGTGTGTCCAATCCATTGGATACACTTTGTCAATGTGTCGCCCACTGTTGCTTTAATCCACCCGAAACAGTAAAAAATTTACCTTTTTTCACTGATGAATCGTGAGGTCAAAGTAAAATCGATGGGAACGAGTAAATGACATAATTCCTCAACACCTCTAACTCCTCATATAACAGAGTATTAGTTTTGATGTTGTCTACCTCCTCCAGCCATAAAGCAGCCTTGCCGAGCATGAAGGCTGGGAAAAGCTTTAGAAGGGAATAAGTTCCCTCTTTACCAATTTTCCTCCTCAAAGCTCCTTCGTCTTTGATCAGCTCACCCAACGCCCCTATAATGCTCACCCTACCCCATGCTCTTCACCATCTTCCCTCGTTCGTTCGTACCTTTCTCACCCTTCGATACCAATGCCAACATGGGGTGGTATTCAACCCACCCAATTCACCCTAACACTGATCGACTTTCGATAGGAATGTTTCCAACTTCAGGCTTAATCCTTTAACCTGCCTTCCACCTGTGCTATTATCGTGTTTAGAGTCTGGTTTCGGCGGGTTGGCAGGCTGTACCCGAGATTGGATCGATGGTGGAGACATCCTCGCCCTTTTTTTACCACCTTATATAAGAACCTCACCCCCAGACAGATAAGACTCCTAGGACGCGTTTCAAAGGATCCTTATTTATGAGACTTTTTTTTGGTAAACAAATGGATAATCGCAATATCTTTCCTCTTCCTCCAGTGCTTCATGAAGAACGATCAGACGTTTCGTTTGACGTCAAAGGATAAACTAGAAGTAGAAGAGGAAAAAAGATTCTCTGATATTGACGGGATGAGATAAAGAAGTTTTTCAAACAGAGGAACGAGAGATGATGGAAATAATTCTTATGAGGCATTGATAGAATTTATTAATGGTGGAGACAGTACATGACAAAACATGTGATATGTTTTGGTTCAATTGACATTACCCGATTCATCCGGTTGCCCGCATCCGTTCGAACTACGATTCTAGCGTGATAATCATCATGTTACGTTGGCAAACGCCTCATAAATGGATATATACGGCGGTGTGTGGGTCGCAGAACAGAAAGATATGACGATTATTACAGAAGGCAATGACCACAATCTTGTTCTGGAATCAGTCTGGGAGGTTTCGTCGGTTCGGTTGAAGCATTTATAACTCATTATGATGATATTTCGGATGATTTGAAATATTCGAGTTGTTGGCCTTGCAGATGGGAAGTTGGTGCAGGGCATTTGAGGTCACTAGTTTTTTTTTATCATTTCGATTCGAAACGTGCGTCTTCCTTCACCAATTATTTCTGATATTCGTTAATTTGTCTGAATTTATCTCGACGTTATCAGGTTTCAAATCGAATGAATTATTTCAAATTAAGTGTGTGAAATTAATTTTTTTATAATATTTTTATAATATTATTGCTGAATGACGGCATGGATTGCAGCGAGATGTGTAGAATTAAAAAAGGAAATTCGCTGGGATTTGGTGGTCACACCTAAACCTCAATTGAGGCACTATAACTTCGCAGGGCAAACATTATAACTCGGAGTTCTGTATCGACTGAAACAACAAAACCATCGGGAATCACGATATCCTATCTTTTAGGAACGCTATTAATCGTGGGGGCCATAAAAGATGCGCATCGAGCAGCGGTACGGGCACCATTGTTTATATACCTATAGGTATGCATATATGAATATATGTGTGTGTGGGTGTGTGTGGAGAACAGAGTGGCTGCGGTGGTCTTCGCGCACGGTGGGCGAATTTGTCAGTATTAAATAAATAACCCATAAAAGCGGGACATCAATCCCCATAGAAACATTAACGCCCGATACGACCTGGTGCGGCTCGAGTGGGAGGGGAAGCTATACTTCTCATTCTTGGCTTATTTTTCATACCCCATCCAACTACACTGGTAGAAAATGAAATTTTTAACGACAACGAAGTATCTGTTAAAAATATCCAGGTTGTAACGAAAAGTGTCACCGTTTTTCGCCGCATAGCCTAGCTTATGAGAATTACATTTTTAAATATTAATTCAATATATATCTAGATATTTTGATTATAGAGGGAAAAGTGTTGGAAATATTTTCGACGTTAAAATGAACAAGCGACCCGTTGTAATAGGTCACAGGGAATAATGGAAACACTTAGGCTGTTTATGACCGAAACTGCCCAATACGTGGACCAACCCTCTAGATAAAGGGCCTTGTCTTTTGGGTAGACCTGTCACCCTGGACGAATTGGTGACCAGGGACACTGATACGAACTCTCGAGCAAGCAACATTGGACATTTACAACCTAGCTTACATTATATCGAGTCTTTAACTAAAGTTTATTTGTTAACAATAAATGAAAGATCGAGTCATCCAATTAAACTGTTGGCAATATATTTCCACCTGCAAAAAACGTTAGTTGATGAATACATTGTTTTTGCACATGCTCCCATATGATGATCAGAGAAAGAAATGTTTGTAATCTTTAAGTCGGTCACTGAGGAAATATATAAAAGATGTCCTGGAAAATGGACCAATTCTACTTCTAAAATTTCTTCTACGCGGTATTTATCGTTGGTACGTGTTACAGGCTTTTCTCCTAAAATCAATATTTATATGTGTTTGACTGATGAAAGCAAAAAAACCTTTTGATATGTGAAACATGAGTAATTGTAGTAAGTAAATAAATATCCAAAAAAAAGACCACCAGAGGAATGTGTGTCGGCATATGGTAGAGCGTACACGTGTAATGAGGCGATGTGATGGTCGGCAAAGACGAAAAGGAAAATCTTCGGATGTTGCGCGGGAGGTGGAATAAAGGGGGTGTGGTGGAGTGTGTGGAGGGAAAAATACGGTGCGGTCTGTCGATACAAGGAGTCGATTGTGGTTGGCGAAAGGGACCGCCTCGACCTCGTCTTCTTCAAACCACACGCCAAACCGCTATGGTAACAGTGGATGTCTCTGTATTCCCAATAGATTCTGATGATGAGATATATGGATGTACACATCTTGGCCGACCCATCTCGAGCACTGCCGCATTGCTATTTGACTTGGCTTTGCTATTACCCACTGGCTTTGATTGGTTACGTTTAATGAGTCGTACGACACCCATATAAATTGCTGCTTCAGAGACATGGGAGGATTGACATTCTGTCTTCTTGTTTCATGTTCTTTCTCCCCACCCGGCTAGAAACAGTGACTCAAATCTCATTTTATTAGAAAATTCCAAAGCCAAATGACGATCAATACGAATTTTTCTTAAACCTGACAGTACTTCGACGACGATGTGACAAATGCTCTCGCGTAAAATCATGGGAAAATTTTTCGCCCTTGTTGCTTTCACACAGAGTAGTTACAGAAATTGATCGAAATCAGAAATCGGAATCTGTTTTTCATAATTGAAATTGCTGAGTTATTACTGCGTAGGGTTGACCACATTAGAATAATTTGAGGTTATGATTTTCTGAGAGGTCTTTGAAGACTTTGAATCATTTCCATATAATTTTTCCAGCATGAATTACTCGGCCGATAATTTGTTCGAGTCTACCAGGTTATCGGAGGACAGCTCTAGATCCTCCGCGAGGCCAAAGTCTGTGAATCTAAACGAAACTCGGACAGTAAACTCCGATTTAACTGATGACTTCACAGATTTACTAAATGGCTGCCACAGATCGCAAACTGTCAAGGTATTTCTTCGTCTCAAGCCAAGAGCACCGAAAGCGAGACGTGCCAGAAAGATCCAAGAAGAGATGTATGTCGTTACCAACACCAAAACCCTCTTCACGAAATTCCCGTCTCCGGATAGCTGCTCAGCCAGAACATTGAAATCCAGTGAGGCTACAGCTAAAAAATTCTCATTCACTCGAATCTTCACTTCTAACATCTCCCATGATGAAGTCTATAAAGGCAGCACGAGTGACACAATTCTAGATTTTTTATCTGGTCAAAATTCCACGGTGATGAGTTACGGGACCACAGACTCTGGTAAGACGTTCACGCTTTATGGCACTTTAGACTCACCTGGGGTAATTCCTAGAAGTATTGAAGCCATTTTCTCAGCTGTGAATTGTTCTCTCGCGCCGTGGTTCAAGCCTCGTCCCGGTTTTGAAGTCGTTTGCTTAGACGAGAGGGAACGGCTAGCTGAGTCCTTAGTCCGTGATAAACTATTATCACATTTGCTGACTAAATCGAATAGCATCGATACCTGGAGGGTCCTAGAAGATTCCAGAGAGGAAGAGTACAGAGAACCTGTTGGAGAGGCTTTGTACTCTGTTTGGTTGTCTCTTGCTGAAATCTATAATGAAAATATTTACGATTTGTTTGCGGAAATGGATGATGACAGGTCTACACCCCTGAAATTGGGGACTGATAAGCAGGGAAGGTCCTTCATCCCCGGACTTACTATGGTCTGTGCCAATACTGGATTAGATGCTTACCAGATTCTTCTGACCGGACAGTCGAGACTGAGGGTGTCGTCGACGCCATTAGACCGAGGAAGTTCTCTCTCTCATTCCATTTTTTCGATCATTTTGTTGAAGTACTTTAAAGAATGCGCTGTCGATGACGTTGAAGTAAGTACACTGACCTTCTGTGATCTAGCTGGAGCTGGAAGAAACAAGCTTAATGTTGCTGCCAATGCAGACTCCTCGAAGGAAGCCAGGAACATCAAGACTGGTCTTCTAGCACTAGGGAAATGTCTTCAAAGTGTTCATGATCGCCAATCTGGCAAATCGAATTCTGAGATTGTTGTGCCTTTTCGAGAATCAAAACTGACGAGACTGTTTCAGAGGTGTCTGTCAGGTAAAGAGCAATTGACCATTATTGCTCACGTGAATCCATCTCCAGAGTTCTACGTTGAAAATCAACGGATTCTGCATTTGTGCTCGATTGCGAAGAGAATCATTGTGATACCCGCGAAGGGGCTGGAAAAAAAATCGAGATCCCAGTTGATAATGCCAAGTCACACAAAGAATTCAGCTACAAAAAGCGAGGAAAAGTTTGTGAAACTTGAGGATAAATGCAGAGAACTGGAAGACCAGAATTCAATCCTTCTGAAGGAGATTGCAATGTTGAGGTCGAATGCAACAACTCGAGAGTTGGAAATTCGAGAAGAGATGGCGAACTTTTGTTCTGCGATGATGAAGAATATGGAGACAAACTGGAGGATGCAGGCACAAGCGATCGAAGAGGATCAAGAACACTTACTGAAATGGTCGGTGAAGCAAGTGGAATCGTTTTACAAGAAAAAAATTGACAGTCTGACCAACAGAAAGAGAAGGAGAAGAGATTCCGGTGATGAGTTGAATGAGTCTCAGTCAGCATTAGATGTCCTTGAAGCTGAGAATTCTCGAATCACAACGAAATGCACGTCTCTAAAGGAAATAGTAAAAAATAGGAAAAAGGAATGTGATGTTCTGAAGGCAGAGAAGAACACTTGTGCCTTTGAACTAGGTCTTGCCAATGAAGAACTGAGACAAATCAGAGATTATCTGTCCTCCGTACATGAATGCCCTTTATTCGAGAAGAAAGACTTACTTCAACACCTGAAGCTAGTCCTATTCCAGAAGAACGAGAAAATCAGATCTCTTGGAGAATCATTGAAGGAATTCATGAAGAATCAATCACGTGAACAGATTGAAGAAGAGGATCCCGAGAATGAGTCCCAGAACACAACGGACGAAGTTAATAGTATATTTGTTGGTGAATCAATGCACTCACACTTGTCAGATTCCAACGGTGATACGATCGAACCTGAATCATCTTTAACAAGTATCAGAACTGTCGAAAATTGTCCGCAGTTTGGAACTCTCAAGCTATCCTCTAAGATCAATCGAAATATTTTCGAAACAATCGATAAGACCTTGGACTTGATAAAAATGGACAGGCAAACGGACTCTGGAATCGGTGTGAGTTGCAGAATGTCCTCCAGCACCGGAAACAGCATAATAATCGAGAGGGAAGACAAGAGCATTCAGACATTAGCACACTCAGAATTAGAAGACCCGAACAAAGAGATTGAACAAAAAGTGAGTCAATTAAAATCGGACTACAAAGCTCTACAATCGGAGCATCTTGAAGGCTCGATTCGCATCAATGAGCTATCGAGAGACCTCGAGAATATTCGCCGTGTGATGCAGAATCTCAAGGAAGTGATGTGCCAGAGTGATCAGAAGATCGTTGAATATCAACTGAAACTCGCAAGCCAAGAGGTTGACCTAGAAAACTTGAAGAAATGCAATATCGAGTTGGAGAGTAAACTCTCAAAAGCATACTTGGACCAAGAGAAGTCCTCCCTCCAGTGCATAACATGCCACATCCACAGGATTAATAAACTCTCATCGGAACTTGAAGATAAAACTAATACGATAAATTCTTTGAATGAAAGAATCTCAACCATTGAACGCGATTTACAGATGGTGCACAATTTGGAAGACAGAGTCAGTGATTTTTCTGTTACTCTTGAGAAGTGCAAACGGGAGAAGGAGGAATTGAGGGAGGAATTGCAGAAGCGTCTGCGGAGCCAATCGTCTCTGGAGTGCAGGCTAAAGTTATTGTCGACGAGGGTGCAGGACAGGGAAAATGAAATCACGTCTCTGAGGACGGATTTGGCTGGTATGGCGAGAATGAACACAGTGAATGGTGAACGGGTGAATGAATTGGGTGAGGGTATTGCCAATGCACTAGACAAGTTGACAACAGTCAAGGAGGAGATGAGGCGATCGGAGGTAGAGAGGAGAGAGCTCGAACGTACCTCATCCCATGAGATTTCCAATCTTGCTGCGCGCTTCAAGCGAAGCACAGCTATGCTCAATATGATTCATGAAGGCAATGACGATTCTAGATGTGAATTGGCAAGAGTGAAAGAATTGTTATTGAAGAAGGACCGACAGATCGCCTTGTTCAAGAGAAATAGCGAGAGTACAATTCGAAGGTAAAATTGTAAAAACGCTATTCCACCGTTTATAGCTCTAACAAGGAGAACCTTTTGAATTTTCAGATATGAACTGCTAGTTCGAAAACTTCAGGGAGACGTTGAACGAAATAATCGGGAGTTGCTGCGTGCTAGAGGACAGTCAAAACGTGCGATATCAAAGGAATCTTTGGAATCGGTTAGGCAAGAAACTTTGGGGCAAGTTTATGGAAGTTCAGTTTTGCAGGACTCTTTGTTTAAAGGTAGAAGTTCTAGAAGAACGCTTAATGTCAAAAATAGAGGGTCTAGGTATTATTGCAGATTGACTTGCTCAGCGAAACGATTGAGCTCGCACATTGTTACTTCGTTAACCTCCCTGGCGAGCTCCAAATCGAATAATTCCAAAGTTGCGAATAGTGAGGAACTTATACCTCATAAGGTAAAGCGAACAACAAAGTTCCGAACTTATTCATCTTCTTAATCATCATTCCTTAATTAACGAAACGTTATTATGAAAAGTAATGTAGAAATGATGATTAACATAAAGAAAAGATTATTCATTGTTTTTAGGCCATTTGGTTTTAGAATGAAATATGTATAAAATATTTGCAGAGGAAGAGTAGCACTCGTTTCGAACTGCTGCAAGCAGATCCTGGAGAACTACTTGTTCCCTCAGAAGTCACAACTCCTAGTGTAACATCGAGCAGTGATGATTCGAGTACTGACTACAAAGACCTGTCAAACTGGATGAGAGTTAAACGAACCAATGGTCGAACGCAGTTCATGATTCATCAGTCAGAGATAACCTTTGAGAATGCGATTAAAAGGTCAATCTCGGAAAGTTAAATTAGAGAACTTGCAGTAACAAAAATCCACGAATTTCATGAAAAAAAAGGTTGCATTTTGGTAGTTCTTTTTTAGTTGGGTTATGTCATTTACCAATAAATCATTGAATCTTCCAACTTCCCTCCTAATTCCCTGAAATTAATCACAAGTCATAAAGTGAATTATGGCCTTCTATCCCTGCTATTCTCCCGGATTATAATTCCCCAAATGACGAGTGATGTTACGATATCCGGCTTATCGATCACCAATAAACTCATTGGCATCATCTGCGAGATGACCAAAATCCTAATGACAAAAAAAAGCGCATCCACCCCAATTGAGCGTCCATTACAGAAGAAATCCAAAAGAATCCTCAGTCCCCCCTCCAATAGGAGCGTGACCGTCGCCCAGTACAGCAAAGAATAAAGTCGGGGTTGGACCATCGGATTTTATTGGCAATATGCTATAATTTCTGACATTAGACGCCGCTGACGCTTCCAGACTCATTATAACCACAGGGGTCCTACGTGATCCGTTTCTTTCTCCTCCCGTGATTCCATTCTGATAGGAAATTATGGTTCATGCTCTCGTGCTGATAAAATCCAACGAATTTTCGGTGAAACTAATTTTCCAGATGACAATGAAAATAAAATGGCCAGACACCGAGTACAAATATCAGTTGTTGTTCGCCCATTTGCACTGTAGTATCAACGACTCGTTTCTCGCAGACGGAAAACTCGTTAGCGGTAGGCTACTACTGGGTGAAAACCATGGAAAAGCGGTGGTGAGAGTTAGATTTTCCACATGGCCCTGTTGGCTACACCATTGGACAAAAAGGGACAGAGTTTAGGTTGGTGAGGGAAGCGAGAGGGGGCAGTCATTTTCGCTGGCTCACCTCTCTGCCGTTGGGTGATTTCTCCGGGCAAATGTACCGCGAACTTTCCTCTTTCAATTGGCAATAAGATTTGATCGTTGCGGGAAATATCATCCAATTTCCTTTTCTCTGGTAGCTGTGGTGCGCACACCATTCGAAGAGGTTTACCCACCTCCGATTTTCCTCTTTCTTTCTCTGCGCTTTTTGACTTTACCATCAACGCCATACTCTCTTTCCTCCCATCACCCCTCCAACATTTTGTTAACCCTCCCTAGGTATTCCTCCGGTCGCACTATATTGGCTTTAGCCAGGGTGAATGCGGAACAGAGACCTTCATCCCCTGCTTTGAGTTTTTTTTTTATGTTCCTTCATTTCCACGGGGATCGTAAGTTTCAATAAGTTTGGAGGTGAAGATAATTCATGGGTTGGCAAATGAAAGCCGCTCATCAGCTATTTTATTATCCCCACCGATCTTCTGGAAAATCAGAAGATTGAAGGGAGGAAATTGCTTGAAAGGGTTTGGGGTGAATGGAATAAAAGGGGTTTGGGGTAGGGAGTCACTTGGCAGAAAGTTTCTAACCGGTGACGTTAGTTTATAATTCGCCAATCCTGGATCAGTATTTGTCACGATTAGCCGATCCCCGTGTAGACAATGAAGTTTTAGTGACATAGGGTTTCTCATCTTCTTATTCAAGCGTGTGCAAATGCGCACATCCACCCCACGAGTTTTCATTAATTTCCACCGATTTCCAGGAGGCAAATTATTGTGCGTAGTTACGCACAATTTCCAATTCAACAAAAGACCGACGGTTGAGAGAGAACGGTGATGGTTTCAACCTGAGATTGACGGAGAAAAGAGGGGGAGTGTAGTGAGCAATTGTATGAGAAGTTGAAGGGATCTAAGGATGCGTACAACTGTAGCCCAACATTGCTTTTGGAACAAGGGGATTATATTTCTCGTGTCATTTACCCCGTGATTTAGAACGTTAACGTTTGTCAGTCATGTATAGTTCCGTCGTTTAACATTCTTAGAGACATTCTCTCTCTTCCTTTGAACTTGGAATAACTCAAATAAACCCTACCATTCAAGAGAAATTACAAATTCCAGGAAAATTGTCATTGCATTATAATAATTGTACAATCTGTCGGCACAAAACTTCGATATCATTACAATCTATTGTTGTCAACAGATTTCAGTAGTTTTTTCTTATATCTCTTTATCCTTTATTGTATGGGTAGTAGAAAAAAAAATCACCGAAAATTACGTGACAGTTTGATAATCACGGCCAACTGAGAAAAATCATAGTTATTCACAAATTGAAAGAAAATTCTGATTGGAATTTTGATCTTCGAGGTATTGCCTTGAATTGAATAATATTATACCATATCATTTTCTCGGTGACATAAGACATAATCTACCCCCGCATTAAACAATAATATTCTTTCTCACTTCTCAATATTATCGATTACGACGTAATCTCCAATAACAATCTCAAATGAATCAATTACACCGGTAAAACAACAAAAGAATCGCAATGAATAAGAGCGTAATGCAGCAACGTGACTAGCGGTAAACTCGTGCATAAATATCCACAAGAATTAGCGAAACGAAAGTTACATCTGGAGATGCAAAATGCAAAATGGGAATATAAGGGGATGGATGAGGTGAGGAGAGCTCGGGGGGATGGAGATTGAAGAAGGGTAGATGGACGGGAGACGGGGTTTTGAGAGTACACCGCGAAAAAGGGGTGAGAGGGTGGTAAAGGGGGTGGAATGCGGGGGGATGTGGAGCGTCGGGCGAGGCGAAGCGAGCGCCGAACAATAAGCAATAATACGTAATGCAATTCAAACGTTGAGGCTGGCAATACGGTCTCAACGATGGTGGGAGGTAACCGGGTAGGAGAGCGGATAGGGGGGGGGGGATGAAGAGAAAGGTACAATCCCCGGGTGAAATGAAAGGCAGGCATTTCCTGAAAATGGGGAAAACGGAGACAATCATACAATACGAACTGTTCAGTCTATTCCATATTTGCCTTTACGCAATTTCTCCCGTCAGCGGTGGGTGGAAAGGGGTGATGAGGCTGGTATGGAGGGCGAGGGGGAGTGGGGAGTTGGTGATGGTGGGCTATTATTACAAAATCGCGACTTCGCCGTATCTTCAACAGTCAGTCGAATGCATTCAACGCCGTTATGTTGAAAGATAACCAATTAAATTGTTTCGTATTTTGAGGAAATGGTTTTAATTCTCTCTTTTTTCTCTTTTTCGTCAGTTGTGATGAATGTCTGAGATAGATCAGCATTTGGTATAAATGTTCTGGGGAACAATGAGCAAAGTTTTCTTTTTTTTTTTTTGCGAAACTAGAAGTTCATGAATCGCAGTACTTATACAAAATGCCTCCTGGGGTGAAGGTGGAACTGTAACATTCTTTTTCTGCGCTTGGATAAAAAAAATACAGGATAATACGCACGACCCCAATGGAATCGAGACGGGAAATGAAAGTGGAAAGATGAACCCTCGGCTTCATCGGAGTTGTTCCGATATCCTATCCAATGTTTTCGTCTATCTGGACTCGAGGGGGTGAATGGATGGGGCGAGTTGGAGAAGCACGATATGCATATACTGGACGATTTTGCTGGATAGAGAGCGAACCCTTGGGGCAATTTCGCAAAGGTGTGCGTTCCATGGGGGTGGAGGAAGAGAAAAGGGAAAAGGGGGTTGGTTTTGGGGTTTTGTCCGCAGTAACTCCGACCGATCCCTCGACGCAACTTACCGCGATTTTATTCGCTTTTACATATGATCCAGGGAGGCACCGATGATAAGGAAATTTTTCCTGTGATATTTCACGTTTTTATTGCTCGACGGTTGTGCCTTGAGGTGTTGGCCAGTGCGGAATATTTTTCACTCCCTCGTCTGCTGATACGAAATATAAGTAGCCAAGGGCGACAGCCTCATTAAGTATTCGAAACCCAGAATGAAGGCGAATCTAGGAATAAAAATTGATCAATCCTTATTCAAATTTAATGAAAGTTCAACGGTGAACGTGCGGTCAGCGATAGTTACCAGGGAAATCCCCACAGAATAGTCATCATAATTACATTTTGAGCTTATCGCTGAAAATTTTTAGATCTGAATACAATATTTTTACCATCTGTGATAATTGCCCATCAATTCTCAATGAGATGATTTGCAGAATTCAAGAAGGATCTGCAATTCTGCATGTTGGTACCTTGTAACAAGACGACGCAGTGCTTGAGTGGCTATTGAGATGCTCTTGTAGCTCGACTGTCTGTCCATGAACATCAGAAAGAGGAAGAGAAAAAGGGCCACACGAGGGATACCGGAGATATTGGAGGCAATGAGGCAAGTTCCTTTTAACAAGACGACTGCCACTTGAACGATATCCTCCCTAGGGTTTCGTCAACCGCTTCACTACTTAGTATATATAATACTAGATGGATACACGGCTTTATTATTGTTATATCCCGTTATATGCCAATTCGACGTTATCCCAGTATCACTTGACCTATAACTTCGATTCCCTTTTTTAATGAGGAGGGAAGATAACTTCGAGTCCTCCATAGCCTTTTCGATGCAATTCAAGCGTTTTCGGGTTTTATCTGAAGCATGAGTGATTTTATAATGACATTTCTGCGAAGAAAGGAACAACTGAGAACTTGAGCGACACTGAGAATGTCATAAAATGGCAGACGCCGATAATTACAACGTTTATACGAGTCGCCCCGCTGGTAATAATATGCTACAAATGATAAATTTTTTAATTCTCGAAATGAAAATTGCCGATCAATTTAACAATTGACCTCGAATTCCCCAACAATAAAACTCTGTCATCAAACAGCCCACGTGTATTTATGTATTTTGCCATTACGTTCCAAGTTTATGACTACAACGACTGTAAAATAATTCGGATATTTATGCCGCTTCGAGGGACGTAATTTATATTTATCATTCACAAACGATGGTAATTGCTAATTACTTAATTTCTGCTTTATGATTTTTTTTTCTGTCAATCTTTTCATCTTTATTTCATCTCTCTCATTTTTTTTTTGCTTCTACAACGAATACTCCTCCACAATCCGTGTTTCCGAGCTGATGAGTAAGATCGCGTGTGTGGAAAGGGCCCAGTGGTAATTAAGTTCTCTGGTCGTTCCCCGTAATACCGAGCAAAGGAGTGAATAAGACAGCTTCATTTCTCGTGTC